GTGAAAGACACGTACAATTTTGACGTTCATATTGACACTTTCGGTCATGTGAAGAGTAAATTTTTTAAATTTAAAATAAAGAAGTATGATTTTTGAAAGTTGAATCTAGTTATTTTTAATTACTCGTACTCGATACTTCACATACTTGCAACTAAATCGGGTTATTACTCATAATTGATGATTTCACCTGCTCGCGACGAACTCCATTTCCAAATAGAATTAAATAGAAAAGGAGAAAAAAATATATAATCTGAATAGTGTTTTAATGTTTTTTGAACTAGAATTTAGGTCTAAGTTCAATGCCTTCAACAATAAGGCCGCCTTTGAGGTGCTCGCCTTTGACCTCTTTTAAGCTCATTTTCACCTCTCTGTCTTTGCCATCACAATAAAACTCGCCCAATTCAACCTCTAACCATCCATCTCTACGTTCATGAAGAAAGCATTCTTCTACTTCACAAACTTTCGATATTGACCTTAATCTTGGCCTATCAATTTTGTGTCGTGTATTAAAAACATGTTCAAATTCTCGTTTCTTTTGCTTATTATGTCGTAGGTAAATCTTTCTTTTCGATCCGTCACTGCCAACTTCAATTGAAACTTCTGATGGTAGGGAATCTAATCCAAAAGCCCGGCCCGCAAGTTTAACAACAAGGTAGGCTCCATAAGTTGTATTTGATGACAACATCCGAGTATTGATTTTACCTTGTATCTCAAGCCAGCAAACCATTATAAGCTCCACTCCTTCCAAGAATCTGTTGTAACAAAAGTAAAGTTATCGTAAATTAACACTTTTCGTTAGCCCAAGAAAGTCAATTATCATAAAAAATAGGAAAATGAAATATCAAAATGTTCCCGTAAACAGCCCTTGTTTGACATCTATTTTTTCTCATTCTCTTTCTTATTTTTTTCTCTTTCTTCATTTAAAACACACATTCTATCAATAAAATAATATTACACATAAACTCAAAAAATTCTCCTTACTTTTTAATCACATATTCTTCTATCAATCACTATTCAAAATCAAATTCTTCTCCAAAATTGGTGTCAAACACAAGCGTAATGAAATCAATAAATAGAAACCTTGATTGAAGAAGGCGTTTCCAGCACCAGTAAAGAGGATAGTTTCCCCAAGCAATTGACAATTCCCTAGCACTCAACATGTAGCATTTCTTATTTGTAAATTTATCAATTGCAAATGTCTGCATTAAATATTGAAATTGTTAAATATATGATTTGACATTTCTAACAAAGTAATGAATTGAAATTGTGACAATGTCATTTGTACCTTGTTACCCCCATCAATGAGAAGAGGAGTAGAAAGCTGGAAAAACAAATCCCTCTTTGAAGAAAACTCCACCGGAGACACCAACTTCGAAATAATATCGAGATAATCACAAGGCAAAAATTTATCCCACACGAGGTCCGACTCGACAGAATTGCAAAACACAGTCGATGCAAGCATGAATCGGCACACATCACGAGGAGACGTGAACCCAATAACATGGGATAGACAATCTTCCGGCAAGTCGTAGAGTCGTGTCACGGCCATGGCTTGTTAAGAAAAGGTGTGCTACTAGAGATGGAAGAACTTTTGTATGCTTGTTTTGTTTAGAAAGTTGAAGTGTGGTCTAAAGGGGCTTTTATGCTGGGGATAATGTGATGAATTTACGTTATGGTGACCACATGAGTTTGATATATGAGGACATCCTTAAGTCATAATCAACTGGGATTTTATCGGGTGGAACGCATTATGGTGCAACGCAGGTAAAAGACGTTCAAAACTAACCAATCATATAATTAAGTTGACTCTCCATGCTTTTATTATTTATATTATATGTTTGAAATATATTCCAAATCTTGATTAATAACGATCAATAAAATAAGTACAATTAAGATTACCTAATAAAGCTACAAAATTAAGACACGCCAAGTATAAGAAGATTTTAATCTTAGTAGATAATTATGGTAAGAATTTATATTGAAAAATCTGGCAATTAAATAATATTATCATAACAAGAGAGACACCCAACTCTAAATTTTAAAGAAGAAAGTGGGGGATTATCTTTTTAAAAAATTAGAGAAACATATATTGATATAGAATGGAGCCTAACTTGCATTTATGTAAAATAGTTCTTAGATTGAATTTTGTTGATTTTTTTTCTTCCTAAAATCACTTGGATTCCACGAGTCGGGCTGGATTGTCCAGCCGATATTGCCCACCTATATTGTCTGGCCAAACTGGGAATCGGATTGAAGACACGACGGTTTGGAAGACTAAAACATGCCATGTCTAACTTGTTTAGGCAACTTTGTCCTTGTTTGATACCTATTTTTTTCTCTCTTCTTTTTCATATCACACATTTTCAATAAAATAATATTACATGTAAGTTCAAAATTTTTCCTTATTTTTTAACTACACATTCTCCATTAATATATTATTTTAAAATGCATTCTTATTATAAAAATGAGAAACAAACATGTTCTAAATGTGATTGATTTTCTAGTATCGGTTATCCCACCAAAGTTGGATTTTCATTGTTCACTATTAGCAAGGTCAAGAACCAAACTAATTTGTTCATCTCAATATGATTCTAGATAATTTTAAGGGTCGATTTCAAAACTAAAGTATCTTATGTACAGCCTAATAGAAATGGAAAATATGTTAATTTTAAATTTAGATTTGTTCTATCTCTAACTATATACTTTTGTCATTTCACATTTTATGTAAAGGAGGGATATTATTGGTTTAATTTTGCATTTATCTTATAGAATTCGTGCTTAATTTTTCAGTATGAGATTTAATATTGTCCTTTCTTTTTAACTTTTGTAGACGAACCTGATGCTTTGTTCTGTTAGAAGAGCCCGACTGAGCACTATTTTTTTGCTCAAAATACATTTTGGAATAGTATTTTGATAGAGAATGTATGGTTAAAAAATAATAAAATGTTTTAACTTTATGTTAAATATTATTTTATTAAAGAATGTGTGTTTGAAAATAAGAGAGAGAAAAATGCATTTTAAAAATAATAGGAATAAAAAAAGGTCATAATTTTATTTAAATATTTGGTATAGTGTTTTTGAAATTAGAAATGAATTTTTACTTTCCAACAAAGGCACGCTGCTACTTTCCCTTCCCTTGCAATTGATATACTATATTAAAATTAAAGTATTAACTACTGCAATATAATGTCGTTTATAATAGCTACTTACATTATTTTTAAAATAATGCAAAAATGTTTATATAATAAGTATTTATCACAAAATATCTACAATGACAATATTATCTCGTCTAGAGATTCTAATATTGATTATATTTACCATTTTCTAGTATGAACAATAACACGAATAATAAATTATTTATTCGATTACTAATATAAATTGGATCGAAAATTTAAGGACCCTTCAATATATTATTGCTATAAAAACAATTTGAAATGAACACTAATATAATAATATAAAGGGAAAATTGCAGCAGCGGCCCCTAATCTTTCACTTTTATGTAGATTTTACACTAACTTGCATTTTGTGCCGCCCACAGTTTCAAACCTATCAAAAATATGCACCTGGAGCCCTTTCCATCCATTTGACCGTTATTTAACCAA